TCCCATGATGCTTCAAACACTGTGCTGGTGGTTCCTGAGCATGAGATGAGGCTCAAAGCTCTGTGTGTTTCTCTCTGTATGTGAATAATTAGTACAAATGTATTCTGAAAAAAACTGTTTTATCTTAATTTTAAGAAAATCTCTAAACCAGAAGATTTGAGCATATAATAACTTTGATTCTCTATTTTGCATTACTAAGATGGTAATGAATTAATAGCGATATTTATGCTGCATTTTTCCATTTCCCTGGATTTAGGCAGTTGTTTATGGTGGTTTTTTAAGAAGCTTTTTTCTGTTAAAAGATTGTGTGAGATGAAATTTAGTAGCTCAAAATTATATGAAATTCTATGATCCAACATGCTGTCAAATAAGTATCTTTGTGCTGATGGAGGCTTAGGTGGAAGGGGCTTGAGTGTGACACTGTTTTCCTCCTTCAGGACACCTATGCTTTCTCTTGCTCCCTTTAGTGGCTCTCTCTAATGACACCTTTCTGAGGTCCATCCATTCTCATACTTTGGTTGAAAGTGTGGGATGGAGGGTGGTGCTGTAGGGTAGGCCCTGTGGTCCTTTCTGGGGTTTCCTCAGGTCATATGGATCACGGGTTGCATGGCTCTTAGGTTTTCAAGCTCATTTATAACAAAACAGCAGTTAACTGTGCTAAAATTCCTCTCCAAACAACTCACCTTTTCTTCTCTAAAGTGCATTTCACTGAAAGCTCTGGAGAGCTGTGCTATTCTTGAGCAGGCTCCATTTCAGCCTGACACCAGCCTGGCAGCTGGGCTGTAAATATTTTATATGGGTGCCCCCCTCCTCCTCTGCCTTTGCACCCAGAGGCAGCAGGTTTGTTGTCAAAGGGGAGGAGAAAGGAGACTGAAAGTTTAAAGGCTGGCTGTTCTAGGTTTGTGGGGTTTTTTTGGGGGGTGGATTGCTTTTTTTTTGTTCCTTTACATGGGGGAAGGGGAAGATGAGAGGGAAATCCCAGGAAAATACCAAGCTTGGCTGTCTCCTGTTTGTCAGCAACTGGTGCCTGTGAGCCAAGAGAAAATGAGGTGGGAAAACAACTTCTGACTGACTTCAGACCTGACAGGAGGCTAATATATGAAAATCACACTTATGTCAGACGAGGGTTTGACCAGTTAGATGTTGGTTCATGTTGGAGCTGCTGAGCCAGGCTACTGGAGGGTGGGCTTATCATCCTCCTTTTCCAATGCCTTTCTAAAAGATGCTCAGTTGGATATTAATAAAAATAGGGCACCAGTAGGAGCATTTCGATGCTCTTTCCTGCTTGCTTAGTAGTACCTTTGGAAGCTCTAGACCTTGCTATAATATGAGCAACAAGAAGCTTTTAGTTGTAAAGTGGAGCTCCTTGCTGAATAGCAATGCAGCTGGCTTTTTTTCCTTACATTTTATGGTACTGGTGTAATGTCAGAGGCAGAGCTGAGGCTGAGGAAAGCTTTTATCCTAGCACTGCCTGGAACTTCTTATGAAATCAAATATCTTGCCTGCTCTCAGCAGATTCAGAAGGAAGTTCTGGGTTGGATGTGTTGCTGCCCTCTCACACCTGCAAAAAAGTTTTAAAGGAAAGTGGAAAAACAAGCGAACGTGACTGAGGGTTTCCCCACCTCATGCCCACGCTTGGCGTGCCACAGCTGCCCCGCGCTCCGCTGTTGTGCCTGTTGTGGGATGCTCTGCTTCACACACCTGGGTCATCATCTTTATGAGATCCCCATTGCAGAAGGGGAATGCTTCAAAGACAGGCAGCAGAGAGACCCAGCGAGGCTCTGCTCATCGGGGAGGTCCCAGGGAGCTGCCCCGGGCTGGCGGGGTTTGGCTTGAATTGCCTCAGCGCGGGGAGCGGGCAGGATGGCGAAGAAATTAGGTAATTTTCAAGCAGCCAAACAAGCGACTGTTACAGTAATTAATTGACTAATTCACCATACAAACAAGGGCCCTTTAAACTAAGGAAGAGCCCGTCACATGACACGGATCTGTTTTCAGTCAGAAAAACACTTCAAACATTAGGCCATTGAGGGGGACGTTTTTCTGCTGGCCTTTCCAGGAGGGAGGCCTTGTCTGCGATTGCCATTAGCCTCGGGGGTGCACGGTGCTGCCAGGCTGGCTGGAGCAGGTCACCTCGTTTGGGTGGCATTACAGCACCAAGTGCCTGTTTCGTGTGTGTGTTGCTGGCTCTGTAGGGCTGCCCCTTGCAGGATTTCCAGAACTTGGCTTGGTGTAGAGAGGAGGCCCGAGGCTGCCATGGCTCCTTGCTGGGCCATCACACCCTGGCCTGGAGCTTGGGGCTGGGGCTGCTCCTTGGGGAGGGAGTTAAATCCGTTGTCCTGAGGCAGTGGGACCTGGCTGCCTCATGGTGATGGGTGCAGCCTCCTAATTACAGGCTTGGATCCCTGATCATCTGTGGAGGCTCAGGCTGACAGAGGCCTGTGGCACAGTGCCTTCCTTGGTGGTGCTTGGCTTTGCTTAAAGGAGTGGGTAGAAGGGGGGGAAAAAAGCCTTACTTTAATAAAGAGGGATATTGTGGGACCAGTTATGGTGGCTGTCATTTATTAAACTATTGGGAGGGAAAGGTGAGACTGTCAGAGAGACTTGGACAAACCCCTTGAGACAGGGGCCTCTGCCAGAATGCCAGTGTTCCCAGATTGTTGGGGGGATGGGTAAGGAAGTGCCATGCCTGTCCCCTGCTCTCTCACACTGCTTGCTACAACAACTAATTTTTGTTTGTTGCAGGCAATTGAACAACAACGAGCTGACTGCCATTCCCTCCCTGGGACCTGCTGCTTCCAGTGTCCGCTTCCTCTACCTGTAAGTTGCTGCCACCTTTTTCTGCTTTTGACTTTGAGCTGTTTGTAGTGTAGGTTTAGTAGCTACTGACAGAGTTTCATGTGTGGCACACCCATTTCTGCTGACTCTGCAGATCTCTCTATCAGACTTGTTTGCACCTTAGTTAACAAGCACCTTCTGGAGTAATATGGTTTGTGTGAGGTTTGGCTCAATTAGTGTTGTGCTTATGGTCAGTGATAACATGTCAACAAACTTCACAGGTTAGCTGTATATTGAGAAAACTATTTTTTCTCATCTGCCTTTGGATTTCATTCATTATATCGTACTTGTGCTATTAAGAGTATGCAATCTTACCTTTTATATTATTTGGTTTTTTCCCTTGGCCCTTTTCTGATGATTTCTGTTAAAGCCAGAGACTATTCACATCTTAGTCTTTCAGACACATTTTTATGGTCTCTTTCAAATTCTTTTTTTCTCTTGTTCTTTTGAGAGGGTGATTGGTGATTGTAATGCTAGATCTGCAGAAGCTTTGAAGTTCCTAACTTTAGTAGTTTAAGTGCCTGCAGAAGTGTTAGACACCTGAGTCTCTGTGTATCTTACCACAGAGGGTCTCAGGTTGGGAATGCTGCTGAAGGGAGTAAAGACATAATATCAAACTTCTTATACCTTATGAGTGTGGATTTCTAAAATTATTTTTGCATGTGTCTGCTTGTAATGCACACCGAGAAGGAATTTTGCTGAGGTATGTGTGATAGATCCCAAGTTCCTGGGAAGGGGAGGTGGTTACAGCTAATGTGGGCTCCAGCAATGTGCTTGTGCAGTTTAAGCAATGGCTTCCAGTGTGCATGGCAATGCAGCCTGTGTCTGCAGGCAGGTGTTCCTATTTACCAGGGATTTACTTCTCCTTGTAGTGGAAAGTACCCATGTCCATACCACCAGGTGGTTGGCCTCTCGGGCTTATGGGGCTCCAACTTCAAGACAATCTGACTAAAAGTACATTCCTGTTATTTAAATCAAGGACATAATAGAGTGAAATGAACTGGCACTGTTCCTGCTCTTCCATTAGGCAGTGTTAACATATGCAAAGCGGACGAACTCCCTCACTGTCTTAATTCAATTTAGGGATCTAGCTTCAAATTGGTGTCCATATCTCACTCCTGGTGTGAAGTGAGTTTAGTTTGAGATGTAGAGCCTTTGATTGCATTCATGGGGGTACCATGTTCCTGCAGAGCTCAAGAGCCAAAGTGTACCTCTTATCATTAGTGCTGGATCTAGCAAGTGTCTTTGTTAAATGCCTAAGTAACCACTTCACCTCCTGCATGGGAGGGGATGTTTTGTGTCTCAGCAGTTATCAAACCTTTTAAGTGTCTCTTTCAGTTGGTGTGAAACCATCTTGTTTGATTTCTGCCTCTTGCTGCAGCCTCTCCCTGCTTGTGTGACCACATATGAAAGGCTGGGTGTGTGACCTGGGGGCTGGTGGCTGCAGAGCAGGGCAGCAACTCCCTCCAAGCAGGGTCCCTTGTTTAAGACATGATCCCTTGACATGAGAGACCATCTGCCTGCCATTTGAACTGAGCTTACCAGGCTGCTGCACAACCCAGTGTGTTATGCATTGGGATTCAAAAAGCTCCAGAAATCTCATGTATGGATGGAAAGCTTGCATACAATTTACCATCCAGGATATAGTTTTAGGCCCCCCAAATCGGCTTTTGCTTCTCACGAAGTCTATAAAGGATCCAAGTTTCGCAAGCCCCTGTTATTTTTGCTATTAATTTAGCCTTTGGCAAAGGACCAAATTGCTAGAGCTTTGGGTTTTTTTTTAATTCCTGAAATGAAATCAGCGGTTTGGGAAGGAGGAATAATGACTGGTGGAAGGCAGTAGAGTTACAGCTCCTCTGAAATTTCAGAGTGGTGCAGAAGGAAGGGTAAGGTACAAAGCCAAATGATAAAAGGATGGTATTCTAAACAGACCTGCTTAGTATCACTTTCCAGAAATCTGTATTGCTTTCCTCAGCTGCTACACATAAATAACTCTGATAGTGGGATCTGTAATGCTGCTGTCATACCTCTGCAAGAAGGACCTCTTTGTTTATCTTGTTTCAGAGAATGCCACTTTTTCCCCCTGTTGCATTTCCTTTTAATTTTTATAAGAGGTAAAAATCTGAAAGATGTTCTGAGGTACCTGCTTTAATCGATGTTGCTGACTAACTCACATTGGAATGATTTGCTGAGGAAGTGAAGCTTTCTCCATCCTTGGAAGTCTTTAAATCAATTGGATGGCTTCCTAAAAGATGGCCCTTTAGTTCAACTGTAGGTTAATGGGCTTGATATGCAAATTGTTGGGTAAAGTTATTTGGCCTTGTGTGATGTAAGGATTGTATGGTTATACTGGTTTCTTCTGGCCCTGCAAATCTGTGAAGTAGTAACTGGGGAGGCTGCCAAACCAAACCCATGGTGAAGATTCATGATGAAGACTGTGTATTGAGAAACTGGTTTATGTTTAAGTATATAGTGTTACAGTGTATTCTTACTGCTACAGAAAAATAAATACATTTCCTTTTTTTACCACTGTTTAGAAATGTGTGAAGTGTGTTTACCTCACAAACCTCTGAAGTAGGTTTTGTATATTGCATGTGGTTAAGTATTTCCAAAGGGCTGTGAACATATTATAAAAACAAGGGTTGTATATTTGTCACTCAAAACAGCCCTTTTGAATGATTTACTTTATCTCCTACTCTTCCTAAACTGGAAATTATTTTTTCTCCTTTTGGTGCTGGGAGAAAGAATCTGCCATGCCTGATCACTTTGCATTCCCTGTTTTTCAGTTTCCCACACCTGTCTCCATCATCCAAAACTTGCTTGACCCCACATGTGTGAGAACGGTGGGTCAGTTATGCATATGTGTAAGCATGTGGGAATCTGTTGGAGAGAGAACTCTCAAGGCTTTCTTGCAAATCTTTGGATGCTTCAGGCTGCAGATGGATGCAGGCATAACATACGTATCAAACATGCTATGCACTAATATACTGCCATAAAGCTGAGTTCAGTTTAATTACTCCTTGAAGAGTCAGTTTGTTTGCCTTACAGGTTGAAAATACTGCCAAAGTTGTCCATCTCAACAAGAGCAAACATAAGGGACTTGATAAGGATTTTAATAGAACAGAAGGGAAAAATAATCTGTATGGATTACCAAATAAAGACAGACATTAAATGCAAACATCTGCTAATGCAAACAAAAGCCAGGAAATTCAGCTGGGAGGGGGAGAGACTGAATCTGGATTAATTCTGAAATTATATTGGAGTATTTGAGGGGAGAATCTTGCCTGAAATTCCCACAGCATTAGTAATTTAGCTACAGTTCCTAGACTTGGACATTTGGGAGTTGATGGCAGGATGTTTTCACTGACATGCTCTTGGCTGAGGATTTCCCTTTCCAATGTTCTGCTGCAACTCAAGTGTGTTTGTTAACTCTGTAGGCTCTCAAAGACTGCTCCCTGATCCAGTGGGGAAGGGGAGGATGGAAGAAACCATTTATTTGCAGCAGAATTCAGTCTGCTTATGTGCAGCTTCTGCACTAACTTGCCTCTCTGAGCCTTGCTAGCTTGCCAGCTAAGAGGACCTAAACTGCAAGTCAGCTCTGCATTCATCTTACTACAGATTTCCCACTAACCTCTGTGCAGGTGCAAGCTCAGCCCTTACTGTGGGACCTGTCTGCCACTGCCTCATCTGCCTGTATCCTGGAGGGCTTTTGGGGGATTTCTGCATGGGATGATGGATGTGGATCCTTGTCTTCTGCCCTAGCTCTGAAACCTGCTTCAGTCAACATCTAGTGATGCAGGCATGCCAGCAACAGGCTGTTACACAGCTGTAGAGCTCAGCAGAGAGCCTGCTGACCAGACTCTGAAGCAGGTGTGAACAGAGCACACTCTGTGGCATGTCCTTAGTTCTCTAGGAATTAAGGAAGTTAACAGATTAAACACTTAAAAATAACTTTCATTTCTTTCACTGTAAGTCTTTTAAGCCCCCAACCATTTAGGAACAAAGGGGACAGTGACCCATGCCAGTCAGCTTTACATTAGCACTAGTCAAAGCTGTTTGAGGTGCTTTGGCCCCATGATCTTGCTCTGGATAAACACAGATAACAAGGAAGTCAGAATAGGGATTTTTGGAGCAAAAGAGTGTGAAATAGGATTAGCTGATTCACAGAGGATGCAATGACACTCTGCAGTGTATTTACTGAGGAAAGCAAAATCAATAGGACTAGTCTGCTGCCAAACTGGGCATAAAAGTCTCTTGAAGAAAATCAATCTTCTTTACAGACTCATTAATGTAAAGATCAATTCACATTAAAATGTAATTAAACAGAGGACTGACTAATAAGAGAAGAATAAGTGATCCACTGTGCCATGGGCAAAATATATCATGTAAAATTTGAAAACTAACTATATGGAGATTTTGAAACTAGGAGTAGTAGGGAACATAGTCTGCTTGAAAGGACTGGTGAGCTCTGATGCCAATTTGGGGCAGCATGGTCCTCATGAAAAGGAGAGTACTCTGGTATTCATTCCATCCAGATGTGAGGGGTAAGACATATACTGCAGTCAGTAATTTCTGTATCAGGAGTAATGTTTCCATTTGAATTGCATGGTTTCTTGGGGAGCTTATCCTCTAAGTAGTGGGAATTTCATAATTCTGGTTAAATTACTCACATTGTTAGTGACCCTTGTTTCTTGTCTGACCTTCACTTTAATTTGTATTGTATCTTACTAACCTTTGTACAGAATTAGAGTTGACTGGCCTTAGAGATCCCTGACATGGCAGAATCAGAATTATGCTATTGATGTGTTCTTAGTGAAGCCTTGGGAAAACAATTGTTATTTCAGTGCTGTTTGCACTGCTTCACTAGTGTTGTCAAATGGGGTTTGCAGAGCCTCCTTCTAAAGACTCGTGGTCCATTAGATTCTTTGAGCTGCTGTTTTGCTTTTACCCAAGACAAACATGTCTTGCAATGTTAGCTGATG